GCAGGTATTTTGCCATCATAAAAGCCAGACTTCTCAGAAACAAGCAACCTTTATTAGGCACTTGGGATTCTGTGATGCAGGGTCATTAGGCTAGGCTGGCATGCAAATGCTCACAAACACAATAGCTGGGGGTCCCTCTCCAGCCTTGCACTGGGCAGCAGAGGGGTCTCCCTTTCCTGCCTGACACTGCTCTATACTGTGCCTCCCAAGAAATTCCACAGATGCGCAGACCTGGACTAATGCCATGTAAGTGCTGCCTCTGGGAGCAGCTCCCTCTTTTTCTTCCTAGTTCCCAAGGTGAGGTGATCCCTGCAGATTCACCTGGGAATGACTAATCTTGGTCCTTACTCAAAGGTTTTTACTCTTGTTTTTGTGTTTCAGAGAGGCATTTAAGTTCTGGGGAGAGCAGAGTGCAGCAGAGGTCTCCCCTAGCTGCTCTGGGAGAAAGATGTACTTCCCTTAGCAGGCATTCCTGGATCATTCTACATCTCTTTGAGTATGGCTTTTCACAGAAACTGCCTCTGTTGTCTCTGAGCTGACACCCTCTGTGAAGTGAGCTGCCTTTTGAGGTTCTTCATGAGGAAAGGCAGCCTATGAATTATTTAAGCACCTCTGTTTCTGATTAGCTTATGACTAATGCTCATTGCACTAACCCTTGAGACGTAGCACATTAAAACTAATGCAGAAAATATAATGGATTTAATTGCTTTCTAGGTAGCAAGGTACACACAGAGCTTTTGTGGACTTTTGTGAGTTTGTTTTCCTTTTAGTTTTAAATAGGTATGCTGAAAGAGAGCTCAGAAAGTCTGCTCAGGGACTGGGAGTCCACAGTGGGCCTGAATCATTTTTCAAGGTCAACAGGGAACTACAGGGAGTGAATACCACAATAGACAAGGGAATAGGAAAGGAATCTTCTTCTCATTTTACATTAACGTTTTAAAAACCTTAAGAACCAGGAGCAGGGAGGAGATACTGCCTTGAGATAGCCTAGGGAATGAAGGGTGCATAAGCAACACCAGAAAATTTTACATCATGTTGAAAAAACACAGAAAATAGTGTTGGTGGAGCTCAGAAACTGGAGCCTGATGTTAGAACAAGTTAATAAATGCCTGGTGTGCACTGACCTCTTTGTGGTCTGTGGCTAGAATTGGAGGCCATTTCTCCTGCTGGAGTAGATCTATGACAACCCCAAGTACCTACCGCTTACCAGAGAGTGTGAGTCTTCCGTAACACCTCAGCTACTAACCACTGTATAGATTGAAGACACCAGCTCAGGACCTGGCAATTCAGATATTTAACTAGCAGCTTCATGTAGGATTTGGATTTTCAACACTACAGTTTTCCAAATTATTCCTGTACCTATTAGCATACTCCCTTGCCAGGTGACAGAGCTATCTTTGGGTCACTGGAGACCACAGATATCTTTTTGTCTGATTCCTTCTCTCTGTGGGTCAAATGAGTTGAAAACTCAGACTGTGCTTCTCTAGTCACATGCACTGACTGTTCGCTGTGTGCTGGCTTATTAATCACCTGAGTTATATTTGCTAAGAGTCTTAATCACAAAACCCAAGCAGCAACAAAAAAAAGAAAACTTCATTATTCATTGTATTATTCCACAATATCAGAGCCACCTGTGCCATGTTCCCCAATGGTGTTAGTTTCCTGCAGACCTTTTCCTCAACTGAGCTTCCTGTAAGTAAGACAGCTAGAACAAAAGCCACTTAGAACAAAAGTTTGGGGTCCAGAAAGAACATCAGAATATTCCCTACTGAGAACCTCAAACTCCTGCAGCCTTCTTCAAAACTTGTATCTGGTTCCAAAACTACTTATTTTTTAATCCGTCTTTGAGGGGATAACTAGGTCTTTCCAGCCTTCTGAATTCACCAGAAGGCCTTACCATAGTCAGGATTTCACCAGATTTCCTAAAATAAGTAGGATTTTCCCTGGTCAGTGTCCCTGTAGGAAGCCTGCAGGGCTAAAACAAACAGCAGTGGCTTTCAACATCACTGACATGGTGTGACATGAAGGGAGGCTTAGATGCAGGATGAGCAGTCTTGTAGTTAAATCCTGAAATGCCAACTGCAGTGATGCCTTGACAATTTTTAGCCCTGTTTTTATGACCATACCACAAAGCTTGTGAAACTGCTTTGTGCACCATAGTTCCCACTGGAGTATTCATTGTTGCTTGCCTGATTTCTGCAAGTGCTGCCTCACAGTCCACCCCAGCGGCAGCTGTACTGCCGCACAAAGAGACCTTGTTACTTTTGGGAGTCCCTTGAGAGGGGAGATGCCATAGCAGTGTGTTGATGGTGGCACAAGAGAGGCTGTTGCTGGGGATCAGCTGCTCTCCCTCTCTGCCATATGTCTGTTTCTGTTTGCAGCCTGAGTGTAAATACATTTTACTAAATAAAAATGTCTTTAATTCAATGAAACTTCCAAAGCTGGTAGGACTCCAAAAGCAATGTCAGCTCCAGGCATTGCTTTCCTGTTCTCTTTGACTTTTACCCTCTTATATATCTAAACATCTCTCAGAAATTATCTCTTCTGCATTTTCAGTTGTCAGGGCTCACATGTTTAAAATACTTCTGTGCTCAGTTCAAGGAACAGCATGGCCTCAGCACTGCTGCCAGCAAGATGTGTGCATGAGACCATCCTGCTTTAGGAGGAGTTAGTTTAGTGGCATGGATGTCAGCACCACACCATGCTGTTTGCTTTCCTCACCAGAGAACAGGCCTTGGTCTCTGAGATGAGGAGAAAGGGTGTTTTGTCCTAGCACTTCTGGTCTCCTAATGTTCCCTGCTGCTGCTTCAGAGCATTGAAGCTGGGCTGGCTATGGTAGATATTCACCTCCAAAGCTACCATCCTAGGGAAAGGATAGTTAGAGCAATTATTGAAGAAGATGAAAGCACTCAGAGAGGAGATGTACAGTATGTCCCTCAACATCTTAAAGGCGTGGCACCAGTGTGTGGAAGAGATTTCCTTTCACTGATATTGCTACAGGAGCAATTTTCTACTCTACTGCTATGATCACTTGCAGGGAGATCATGAGTCTTACTTGTACATCCCTAGTGTTCCTTTGAGCTTCTTTTCCATAGTGACCTTGCTACAAAACATCCTGGTGAATCTGTCCTCTCTTTCAGCCTGTCAGTGTCAGCTGGTATGAGAAGGTACCTGCCCTTTTGCTACACTTTGCTACAGCCCACTAAGGAATCTCTCTTTCTAGAATCTCTTTTTCTAGAGGTCCTGATCCCCACAGTACATGTGCTGTGCTGAACTAGCTGAAGCATAGGCAGCTGTACCCACCAGCTACAAGGGACACATGTCCTGGTGGTGGCCATATGGGCTGGGACCCCTGTATAGGGACTGTGAGGGGTTGCCAGATTCCAGCAGGGCATTTTCTTCTTTCCCATGTTAGTCTATGGCTGCCACATAAAACTCCTGGCTGTGTTCTTCCCACAGACACCCAGCATTGGAGCATTACAGAGTGATGTGCTCTGGCACTGTGCATTAGGCAACTTTGACATACACTTAACCGTTGTTTTCAAACAAAGACAAAGCCAGTCATTAGTGTGCAGACATTTTCTCATCCATCCTAGCAGAACCCACTCTGGCTTCCTCAGTGCTCCTTATGGCAGCCTTTCCATGATGGCTCATATGTCTGATTCCTCTTCACTGTACTTAACTGCTGCTCCCTGCAGCCAGCACCACAAAAAACTGTTTTCTCCTGACAATACTTTCCGGCTTGGGATTAAAGCAGCAAGAAGCCAGGGATATTTCCCTTCTATACAGTGAGGCTGTTGCCATTGAGAGCCTTCATTTGACTGGCTGAAATTTAAGAATGGAGCTTGTGGATCTGCAGTCAGAGCCAATCCTTTGTATCACTGGATGCTTTCAGCACTCACCTGGACACAGTCCCCAGCCATTCCTACTAGCATCATTTCTTGCAATGAGTGCACTTTGCTTTTGACAGTTGTCCACAGTATGCTTTTTGCAAGACTCTTGCTTAATGTGTTACACAGATCATATGATATTGTCACAAATCCCTGGCATCTTTAGTGCTTGTTTCTGGGGATATTCCAATTTCTTGAGCAGGTTTGGGGTCAAATCAGCCTCACTCTATAATCACTGGTTGTAGGTGGTTTTATTTCCCTGAGCACAGAGTACCCAGTTCCTTCATGCATCATTTATATTCCCTGCACCCTGGCAGAGCTCTGGCCATTTCTCTATTCCAGCCACGTTTTCAGAAATGTTCATTTTCTTTCAGATTCTCTTTATAAAAACAGAGCTGCTCTATCATCTCCAATGACTCTGAGGATAGGTGATTTTATAAATTTTCCACAATCTCAGCAAATGCTTTGTTGGCAGATATAATAGACACTGTTAAACTATGCAGCAGATTATAAATTTTAGCCACTATTATGATGAGTAAACTGCCAGAATTTTTTTAGATGTTATGCATTGTTTCCTCTCATAGCAAAAGGTGAGCAGTTTTCTCCCAAGACACTGGAAAAGCCTGTTTTGTGCAGAGCTGAACATGTTTAATCCTTTCTCCTTTGCTCTCTGCATGGGTGGATTCCTCACATTGCTGTACCTGCCCTGTGCAGCTCCCTGTATTGTATGAGTGAGTTTTGTGCCTCTCATTCAACAGTAGCCTAGAAACAGGATTGAGCTGAACTGCAAAAATGGATGGAGAGAAAATGGCTGTAAGTCCTGAGGGCTGGTTTGTATCAACAGCTTTGCAAAGAGATGATTTGTGCACCCATATGGGTAGAAGAGCTGTGCCCTCACCTTTTGTGCTGCTACCCATGTCTCCTTCCATCTTTTTTCTCTCGTGGATTTACACCAGAGTCTCTGTCAAATAGTGCAATGGGTTTGTATGGCATGGACCATATTGTGGTTTAACCCCAGCCAGGAACCAGGCCCCACACAGCTGCTCACTCATTCTCCACCAGCAGGATCAGGGAGAGAATTGGAGGGGTAAAAATTGGAGAACTCATGGATTGAGATAAAGAGAGTTTAATAGGGAAACCAAAAGACAAACACACAGGCAAAGCCATACAAGAAATTTATCCACCACTTCCCATGGGTAGGCAGGTGTTCAGTCATCCCCAGGAGAGCAGGGCCGCATCACAGGTGCCTTGTATTTGTCTCTGGGAAGACAAATATGTTTACTGCAAACATCCCCCTGCTTTCCTCCTCCTTCCCCCCAGTTCATATCCTGAGGAGAATGACATATGGAATATCCCTTTGGTCAGTTAGGGTCAGCAGTCCCAGCTGTGTCTCATCCCAATATCCCATGCGTACCCAAATTCCTTGTCAGCCATGGCAGTACAGAGAGCAGAAAAGGCCTCAGGTCTATGCAGGCCTTGCTCAACAATAACAAAAACATCTCTGTGTTATCAGCCCAGTGTTCAGCACAAATCCAAAACATAGCCCCATACCAGCCACTGGGAAGAAAATAAACTCTACGCTAGCACAGGCCAGCACCCTCATCTTGGCTGGGACCCCTGTTGCCATGGCTCAAACACTGCCAATCTGCAGGCAGGTTGCTAGCAGGCTGCTGACACTTCCGTGTTGGAAGAATGTTAGCCTGGTGGGTTCTGTGCAGGTTTGTGCCTTAGCTGGACTATGAAGCACAGGGTGTCTGGAAACTGAGCAGGTGAGGCATTACCTGTACTTCCTCTTTTCTCAGGCCTAGGTTTCTTTCTGAAGTTTGGGTGCTGGCTGGCTCACTTAACTGTTCTGTGAGCCTGGACATCTCTAACCAGGAGACAGCTTCACACCTCTTTAGATTTTATAGGCTAGCTGATGAGTATCTGAGGATGCTCAGCCAATTAGCAGAACTCCAGGAAAACTTCCGAATCCTCCCACTGTCTCCTAACTCTCTGCCTTCTGATCCCATTGTTTCCAGATGACACTTCCTCTGACAGCTGGATTTTTCTCCTGGTCAGGCCTTCTCCTCTTTCTGCTCTCTGCAGCTTGCAGTCAGTTCAGTGGATGGAGGCATTGGAACAGGAGCGGGACAGGAGCAGGAGCTAGATTGACAGAGCAGTCTGTGAATGTGAGGTCCATAGCCCCCAGTGTCTTGTGCAGAGGGTGGGGCCTAGGAGTTATGGTACTGTTCAAGATCAAGAAGCTGGACACAAAATCCCTTCACTCCTGTGTTGTAAGATGGAAACGTTGGGATGGCCAAGTGGTCTCTCAGGCAGAAGCAACTGAAGCAGCAGGGGAAGGGCTTTACTGATATCTCTCAGCCCCTGGTCTTCAGACAAAGGTGATGAGGTTACACTGACCATCCCAGTCCCAGTTGTTCCTCCAGAAAGCTCTATGCTCCGGGTTGATGTTGTCTCTGCAGAACCATTCAGGCCCCTGGAGTACTGGGAGGGATGGATTAAAGCAGAGAACACCTGAGCTGAGGGAAGGCCACAGGCCATGATGCAACTGAGCAGAAAGGCTCAGTTATTAGTCTGCTGACTAATTAGTATTTAGTCTGCTGACTGTTTTATAGTGCATTCAAGGACTGAGAGCACTATCAAAGCTGGACATTATCCATTTAGAGTCTTGTCTTCAAAAAGTAAATGATAACCCTTTCAAGATGAGCTGCTGATATGTGAAGAAGAGAGGTTGTATGAGTGATATGGGAAGAGAAACTAAGAAGGCTGAGCACTCTTACCTGAAGGGCAGAAGAGATGGAAAATGAGCTCGCAGAGCCCAGGCTCTGGCATCCCTCATTTGGATGATCGTGTCATCATCCAAAGCAAATTTCCCAGCATATAATATTTGTGTATTAAATTGGAGAAACTTGAACCCAATACTCCCCAGAAGAGAGGGTTAGCTTAGCTTATTTATTTATTTATTTATTTTTAACTACAGAAATCAGCAAAGCCTGAGTTAGTACAAATGGCTTGGGAAGGAAAGGCAAAATAAAAAGGACTGTTCTGGATTGGGAATGTGGTGCCATAGGCACTGGCATGCAAGGGAAGGCAACACGGGCCTGAGGAAGCTGAGGAAGGAGCTGTGCTGTTGGGGAATTAATGCTGGGATGAAGATGTGGGTAAAAGGTAGTTGTATATGTGGGGAACAGGGTATAGGAAGTTTTGCAAATATCTGCAGGGAGCAGTTGGACTCATGAGCCCTGGAGGGAAGGGAGACAGCAGTGGGAGAGGGCAGCGCTTTCTTCTGCAAGAGGTGTATAGAGCAAGTGACAAGCATCCACACAACAGTAAAGCTCACTGTGTGCCTAGTCTTGCTCAGACACACAAAGGGACAACTGCTGCATAGAAAAACAAACAAGCCATGTATCCAAGCAGTAAACAAAAGGGAAGGGAAAACAGAGGGCCTTTGTGAGCACGGGAGATGCTGCACTGGGCAAGATGAATATCCCTTTAGGCCCTTATCTCAATCCCGACAGTGGCTGATATCAGATGTTTCAGTAAAAGCTGCAAAAACTATCTTCACAACACATCTGGGCACCTGTGTGATAGCATCCCCACAGGGTTTCTTCCTGCCAGACCCCATTTGCTGATCAGCCTACATATGGAAATCTGAAGACTGAGAGCTCTCATCAGTTTTGCTCTGGCTGATGTTGTAGCCAGAAGGACTTTCACTAATATAGCGTGCTAGCCCAGCTAGTTTCTTTCCCCACTTGCTCTATTCTGTGTGTGATATGGGGTCCTCAGCCCTTGTGGCAAGTGCAGACCCATGAGCTCTACTCCCTGTGTTGAGATAAGGACAGCCCAAGGTGGACTATACCTTTTCTAGCTCCATCTAATTGCCATGGGTTGGGGGCTCACCCATTCTTCATCCAGCTATTTTAAACACTTTGTAGCAGCATGCCACCACTCTTTCCCTCTGTGGGAGGCCATTCCTGAAGGATGGGTTAGCGGGAGTGTAAAGAGCAAACCAGGTGATCCACATACCACTGCCATGGAAGTAATGGAAGGTCCAACAATGCTCCATGGCCCAACTGGAGGGTGTATACCAACATTTCCAGGTGCTTGAGGCATTAAGTCTGCTGCCTTCATTCTGCATGTGGCAGGACTGATGAACAGAGGAAATAAATTTGAGGAAGTATCCCAGGAACAAAAGACAAGCATCTGGGATTTACTGACAATTGCTGATCTGAGATTTATTGGCAATTGCTGAGCAAGTTGATGGAGTGCAACATTATTGTGAGAGATCTTTGACAGACCCTAAAATGACATTCCATAAGATACCAGAGTGTAATGTACAAAGCTATTGTACATAGATCTCCTAATGGAAAACCGACACTATCTATTCATACTCAAAGCACAAGGAGACCTGTAAGAGATGGTCCAAAGATTCTCTCATCTGTCTCACGACTGTCTCTAGAACAGAGACTGAGACCCTGAATATCACAAGGGACTTTTTTGCAGGGGTTTGGGCCTAGCTGAGGTGGATGTTTGCTAAGTGATTGTTTGCAGGTGGTTGCACAGTCCACTGCCCTTGTTCCTGCTGGTGAGCAGAGGTTTGTGCATGGTACCCTGCGCAATGGGTTTCCACGACACACTGCCCTCGTTCCTGCTGGTGAGCAAAGACTTGCAAAATGTGGTTTGCTCTGTACCCTACACCTGCCCCCTGCGCAATGGAATTCATCACAGTGGTCATCAATCTCCTCTGCTTTTGGCCCTATGCCCCTCGCTTTGTAAAAGACTATAAAATTACACCCTGAACTTACCTTCCTTTGAGATCTCCCCAGCAGACAGAAGCCTCTGCATTGTTGGACGGCTGAGCGGACTTTGATACTGGTAGCTATAATCCCCTTACTCCCTTTCTCTTATGGTTTGCTTTCTCTTCTTTTCCCTCTATCACATATTAGTGCTGATGAGCACTCAATAAAGTGTGTTTTGCTGTTTAAGTCCTTGGTTTGCTGATAATCTTTTGTACTCTAAGATTGAATAAAAGAACCACATCATGAATCCCACCTTGTGGATCATGACAAGACCAAAGGAAAAAAAAAAAAGAAAAAAAAAGGAATAAACTTTAAAAGTTTTGTTTGGCTGTAAATGAGAATTGCTCCTGGCTCTCTGTACATGATGCTCTTCTTGAGAATTTCTCAGCAGCTTGGGTGATCACAAAATCACAGGTGTGAAACTCTGACCTAATAGATTTTCTGGGCTAAGTCCTCCCCATGGATGTGATCAGATGTGAGCCTGGGACTGCCTTCAGAAAGACCTTCCCTCTCCTCAGCATATTCTCAGTGTGAGAAGTTGCAGAATAAACCACAGGGAACCTTCTGGCTCTCAGTTCCTCTGACAGACTGTTGATAACACTGGGAGGTGTGGGGCTTTGTTTTCTCCTGTCCCTTGCATGCACACATACATACATGCATGTGTGCAAGTGCCACTGGTTTCCAGGTTCTTGAATCTGTGATTTCCCCCAGCTGCAGGATTACTCTCCCAGACAGCAGAAGTGGTTTTGTTTTATTCCCCACGCCTTCCCTCAAATAACTGATTTTGGGGGAACACACTGCACCAATTCATTGCTACTCATTGATGTCCCTTCTGTAACATCCTTGACCATGGATCACAGTCCCTGTGGCCTGTTAAGTGTGTTTGGGTTCACACCACTACAGCCCCAGGCAGGGGCTGCATCTCACTGTCCCTGCTGTGCCCACTCCTGGAGGAGCCCCAGGGAGGTGAGCACTTGGCTGCTCACTGGTGCCAGCTCTTTGGATGCTTGTCCACATCTCCAATCTGCCCTCCGTGTCCCGCCGCAGTCTCCAGAGGAGGCTCCCTGACTTTCACTCCCTGACTTCATCACAGGGTCACAGCTGTGCTGGCTGTGCATTGTCACTGCATAGCATGCTATGTGAGACCAGCTGAGGACTGCAGGTCATTCACAGGAGTTTTAGCACATGGGACTTGGCTGGGTACTCCAACTACATTAAAATCCACGGGCAGATAAATCAACAGCTCTCCAGGGATGATCTCTCCATGTACTAGCCCCTTCCCTCTTTCTCCTGGCCTTTGTGGTGAACTCTCAGGCTCACAGGGAGGTGAGTAAGGACACTTGAAAGCTGTGGTTCACACTTCTAGGCCTATGCTGCCTGATTTTTTAAGGCTCAGAATTATTTGCTGCTGGGACACTATACTTGTACTTTCACAGCTGCTTTAGTGCAACAGTGTTCATGCAAGAAAGCACAGCCTCAGCAAGAGCCTGCTCTCCATGGGTTAATACTGCCCTTCCTTGGGAGCAGTGGCAGCTTTGCACACTGCTCTTGTAAGTTCAAGCTGACAGCAATAGGTAATATTTCTTGAACTGCTAATGGTTTTTGGTTTGGTTCATGTGAGCTTTGTGGTTTCTGGTACCTGATTTGTAGTGTGGTTCATAATACCTAATGAAGAGCAGGGAGCAAAGCCTACTCAGAGACCATATGAATGCTTGCACTTTCCCTTTAAATTAACACTTCCATAGTGTCAACGTGGAGCTTTCCAGTCCATAGGTATTCAGGGACTTTATCACCACTTTAAGGTAATTTTTTCTTTAATACTCATTGCTGGTTTGTTGGCTAGTTGGTTTAGGGGTTGTGGGGTTTTTTTTGGTTTGTTTTTGTGTTGGCCTGGTTTGGTTTTTAGAGGTAGCAATGCTTATTTCTAAGCTGCTTCCCAGACAAAAAGAAAGCCTTTAATCAGGCTGGGAAAACCCACAAATGATGCAAAGACAGCTATGTGCTGACAGAGGTTACTGAAGGACACTGGGCTTTACCACCCCTCCTTACAAGAGCAATGTCTGCCATTAATACAGAGCACAAATTCATGAAGTATTCTTTACATGGTTAAAAGAGTCCCCTAAAACATATCCTCCCCTTCATATAGATTATAACTACCCCTCTTTTTCCCCCTTTCCCTCGCAAAAGTAAAAGCACAGTTTTGAGCTAGGGAAACCTCACAATACACACACAGTGTAGCTCCACAGCTCAGGGGCTGCACCGGCCAGCTCTACACTGCTGCTCTTCAAGATTTGCAGTGGGTCAGGGGTGCCAGGGGACCGAAGGTTGTTTCTATGAAAAGAGTTTGAAACAAAATCTTGGATTTTGAGCTTGGGTACTCAGGAAGTCAGAAAAGGTAGAGATGGGAGAAGGGCAGAATTGTGCCTCTGGCAACACAACCGTGTAGAAATGTGTTTAGCTGAATAGAGTAAGATCATGTCAGTGTTGCAGAATGTGTCCACATTCAAAAAACTTGCCTCCAATGTTGCTGACGCAATGTTGCTGAGATTGAAGACTGAATGATGCATTTGTAGCTCCCAAATTGCTCATAACAAAAATCCCAGTAGTGATCCATGCAGTGCCTGTTATTTAATTCTGTGCATAAACAAAAGAATTCATCCTCTAGGGACTCTCAGTCTAGTTTCTTTCATTAAGAATAAATGAAGTATTAATAGCAAAAAAAAAAAAGTATTACAGAACAAAATTTTTTAAAACTGTTTTTTTGATTTGAACACATTTCCATATAGCTCTGGCTGGAATAAGCAGCTTGTAGTGCAATGTATTTCAAATAGATAGAAATAATGCCCCCAATAACCAGGCTAATTAGATGTACTTTCTCTACAAACCCACAATTCTAATGTTCCTGTCTTGCTGTAATTAAAGAAGCATTTACCATGCATTGGAACTTTTAATTATGTCTAAGGTCTAATAAACTTGGAGTAAGCTAACAAATATTTTTCTGCCAGTGGGTAGATTTTAATCAGTGTTTAGAGGTTAAAAATTTCAGATAGCAGACATCAGCCAGTGTCTAAAGAGCTTGAAGAGGCATTTGAGCATATTCATTTGAACAACTGTTGTGCTCACCCCTGTAGTGTTGAGGGAACCAGTTCCCAGCATTTTCCCTTTGGTAGCTTAATTTTTGTGGGCAGAATTACTCTAGAAACTGTATTTGCATGAGGTTTTCTAGGCTGTGGAGTGGATGTGGGTACCTGCTGAATGCCATGTGTGGGTTCCTTCCCCCTTGCAACTGCTGTCCAGAGTCTAGACCAGCAGACCTCCTGCTGTAGTCAGTGGAGGAAAAGTAGGCTCATTCCCTCCCAAACAGTGTTTAAGAGATGTGAGGGCAGCCCCCTGCTGAAGATTCCTCTCTTTCTCCATCAAGACAGAGCACCTCAGTGGCCATCCCAGATTAAATACCTGAATTATAAACATCCAAAGAGAATAAGAGGCCCCACCCTGTACCCCAAAAAGCCCTGCTACTGTGACATGGAGTTGTGAGTTTGTTCATGTGTCCCCGCACAGAAATCAGAGCATGGCCCACAGGGGAGCTATTGGGGAAGAGAAGGCATCTCCTGGTGGCAATGGGGTTGCAGAAATCCAGTGGGGACAGCTTGTGCTAGCCATATAAAGAACTGTGTCCCTCTCCTCAGGAGGGAGGGGCAGGGCTGGAGGAACTGGGGGTTGGATGATGAGGACAGAGGGTCTGGGGGCAGAGCTATACCCACATGTTGTGCCTGTATGGGGTAGGGAAATGGACGTGTCGCTTGGTGACAAGAGGCTGTGAGTAGGAAGGCTGGCAGTCCATCCTAAGTAGTTTTCTATGGCTGTGTTGAGGTTCACATGGCAGTAAGATATAAAAAAAATTGCAGTGGCCAGACATGTATACAGATGGACAGCAAAAGTGCACAGAACTGTCTATGGTTGACAGGTTGGAGTCCAGGGAAGGAGGTCACCTGAGATCATTAGGACAGACTTCCCTGGCCGAGGAGTAGAGTCCGTAATAGAGGGGTGTATTCATCTGCTTTCCTGTGGCTGTTTCAGTGGGATCAGACAAGCATAGACTCTTTAGGACTTGCCCTCCCAGGAAGTTTCCTGTGCAACAGAACAACCCTTTTGAATCATAAAACACAAATCCTTTATGTTTTCTTCTGGAAGGTGGGGCATGATGCTAGAGCTCTAAAGCATAATCAGCATATTGTATCTCTGCCACATCCTAAACCACCTCCAGGAACCATTAATGCTATCTTCCCCTGATGAAATAGCTCAGAAATTTCCACATTCTCTGCAGAAGGGGGAGGGGAGTACAGTATAGGAATATATGTTAAAGGACCTACTGAGGAAGCAAACAGAGAAGTCAGGAGGCACATGCACTGGATAAAGACTGAGGGCATGCTCTTGAGAAAGAGAATGCTTTGGAGGATTTGATAAAGTGAAGAAAACTTTCAGGATGTGGAAGGGGTAAAGACTTAGATTTGGTCATGGGACTTGGGTTAGGGCACTTTGGAGGGATAGGATGAAGCCCAGAAGCTGCTGAAAAATGTGCACACAAAACAGTTCCCATGAAGGTAATATTTGCTTCAGTACAACTGACACATGCCAACTGACAACTGACACTTGTGGAATAGGTCATGCATTTTATT